ACTGTATGTATTTCTCCGCATGTCGGCGAGTCCACTGGCACGCTCCCGAACCCTACTTGAGCTGGCTGTTCAAAGGAGGCCTTTTCCATTTTCTCCTTACAAGGCTCATCGGAACATGCGCGCCTTTCTACACATTTACTCCACTTTCACAACGGATTTTCTCCGAATCTGACACTTGGCCATAACGGCAAGGAAAACGAGTATTATGAAGCTCTAACTTTTCAGACCCCCGGGTGCGGTTCAGCCGCCTACCGCAACAGAGAGCAGTGCATGAGACAATACCGGTTAATCTTTTTCCCCCCGTGATACCACTACTGCTTCTTCAAGGGTACGGCTCTGCGTAAGTCGCGACTTATATACACGATGTCGAGTCATTGCAATTATATCCGGCACCTTTTCCCAATCTTAGGATTGATCACTTTCAAATATAAATTATTGAAAAGTGTTCATCTTGAAACTTTCTTAGTCTAACTAAATGCTACTTAGCTGTGTCCGTGATTCGATTCGCCGATGCCCTAAATTTAAATTTGACCACGGCCTTTATTTGCGTTACTAACAAGCAATCGATTTGACGCCTTAATCCATTTAACTGTTAATTCGCTGGGTAATAAGAGTGAATCACGCTGGTGAACGTAATATGGTGTTTATGTGAAATTTTATGATTTTGTTTAGAGTTGATTTAAATCTTTATTTCTGTATGGATGTTATTTTAATTTGGGTGTTGAAAAAGGAGCTTGCATGTTATCTAGACAATCACAATCGCTATTTTAATTGATCTTGATAAAATTGAAGAAAGAGATAACGAGTTTAAGGACTATATTATGTTATATGTTGAGGATGTGAATAAAAATGAAATAATGAAGAATAATGAAACATAAAAATAAAATGAATGGGATAGAGAAAACACATCCACTCTAGCTGTATGACTGCAGACACGTGTTAAAGTCACGGTACGGTAGTAAGTTGTAGCACGGACGTGTCGGCTATACCGGGGAAGGACTACGCTTACAGAATACCAGCTTAATATAGCAGCATAATGTTGATAGGTTTCGTATGGTCAGTGTAGAGAACCGGAGGTCTTTTTTGTTGTAAACGAGAACGAGACATTCCATTCTAGTCCTTGTTGTCAACGCATCTGTATTTTGTTGCTTAATCGAGGATAGACGTAGATGTCTATGGGCCGCAGCATTCACATAGTATAGACTGTGTACTCTTTCGTCACCCTTTTTGTATAGAAAAGAATGGATCAACTCGAGCAGGTTCAAGCATCACCATAATACCGCAGTGTTCCGCAGTGTTTCTTATAATTACTGCAGAAAACCGGAGACTATACTAGTAACGAGGTATTCCATTTTAGTCCTCAAGGGTGATAGAGCCTTTATATACCATCAGGTGGAATATGTACTCGTTTGGCTCCTCATTCTTTGTAAAATATCTAACCTTTTGTCACGTGTTTTCTACTTTCTTCTACATAATAAGAGTTATAATGTTTATTGCAATATGATTTTGTGAGCCCACTTTAAACGGAGCTTTTGTTGTTACGTACTATTTATTGATGACTGGATAATTGTGTGAAAACTATTTTGAAATCAACAAACATATTTTGAGTAACTCTGTTCGATGAAAGTAACTGTTTATTCTTGAGTATTATTGTTGTTGCTGTAGTGAAAACTTATGAAAGCAACATAATGAAGTTAAAAAAAACCGTTCATATAGTGAAGGAACGCTAACGATCGGGATTATGGTAATTCGGAGGTCATCTATAAACTTTAACCTTGATTTTATTTGAGCAAAGTATTATTTTCATTAATTTTACGTCGTAATAAGTCATGCAATATGGTGTGTATGTTACCAACGGATAGGTTAGTCATTTCTGCTAACACCTTAATTCTTAATCCTGCATCTTCTAATACATTTTTTTATAATTTTCACTTTTTCTTCTGTGCCCGCTGTAATTGGCCCACCCAGGCGGGCGTCTTCTTCGATGCTTTCCCTGCCTTTTTTGAATTCACTTGACCACTTATGTACGGTTGATATTGAAAAGGAGCAGAATCTTAATGATTTCTTATATTTACGAGAAGACTACACATTAATGTCCCGATGTCATAGCCCGGCTACCTTCAGTTTTTGAATATTAAAGTTTTTGAAAATTAGAGTTATTATGTCGGGACGTCAAAGACCTCAGTTCCCCTCGTGACCATGGGTGCTGAAAAGCACCCGAAACGTCGGGAATTAAAAGAGTTAAATTAAACGCGATAGAATCCGTAAAAATTAGTTTCACTTAATGAGCAGAATCTTGGTGTAGGGCCACCATTTCTTCATGGATATTTTTTTAGTTTCTCCTTATTTAGTGAAGAATTTAATCACAACAGTGTTCGATTTTTTCAACATTGTCGAGTCAGTCATTCCCGTAATCAATGACTGAAGGTTACATAAGAAGTTATCAAGACGAAATTTCATATTTATACCCTCTGGTAATGTCAGTTAGCTAATGTTAAGTTTTTTTTAATTACCCACATTATTAGCAAATCACCCAAATACCGAGAATACATTGAACATATAAAAAAGTCCTAGAAACGCCGCCGAATACATTATGCGATGTGCCTAGTACCTACGCGTTGTGTTGCGCTAGTGTTGTAAAAAAAGATATTTTTATTCTAGGCTACAAAACGATACCGGAGCTTTACTAATAAAAACTGGGTTTAGAATTGCAGCAACGAAACGGTTACAGACTCACATGATGCTGCGATATTGTTCCTGTTATTCTGTCGGCGCTGGTGACACGAACCCACGACAGTGGCCAAACATACATTTTATTCATTTGGTAAACAAAGATTGCAAAATAAATATTAAAATTGTAATCATTTTAATATTTATTTTGCATTACCAATCAGATGGACTGTGTGCTCGTTTGTCACTCTTATCCTATAAAAAAAACCATCCAAGTGCGAGTCGGACTCGCGCATGAAGGGTTCCGTACCATCCCACAAGATTTAATACTATGCTATGTATGCAAAATAAAACACGTTTCTAGTAGGGGAGCCTCCATTAATTTAATTTAATTTTTGTTTTTATTATTTCTTGTTATAGCGGCAACAGAAATACACATTCTGTGAAAATTTCAACTGTCTACCTATTACGAATCATGAGTTACAGCCCGCTGACAGACAGACGAACGGATGGACAGCGGAAGCTTAGTAAGAGGGTCCCGTTAGTTAGCCTTTGAGTACGGAACCCTAAAAAGCACCAGAAAACTTTCTACCTTTTGCAATCACACATATAAACATATTAGTAACTAATAGATAGTCACCAACATCGCATTGTATCGTCAACCTATTTAAAAGTCCACTGTTCACGTATTTTTGTAGGCATTTCAAGTATTTTTGAAAGAATTGCAAAGCCGATATTCTCACATAGTATGTCACCAGTCAGTGGTATTTGGCTCGATATTATGGACTTATTTTCTGCTATAGGTCGGTGTCATAGTCTCTCTCGTCCATCATTAAACAAAGTTTACTCCAACGCCAACAAAATACCACTTGCGGGTGAGGTTAACATTTGGAGAAAAACAATACTTGCAAGAAAGCCCTCAGCGGATGCAACAAAAGTTAATTGGCATTTATTTTAGTTAACGTAAGATATACAACAGAATAGTGGTATGATAGAGAAATATGTCTAGTAATACTTCCCTTACCATTATCTACCATTAGGTAGCAACTGTTGCGTTTCTTAACGTGTAGTGGCGGTGTAAAGATGTCCACTACCCCATATCATTCTGTAGATATAGTAAGAGGCGACAGAGGAAAACAAATCAGGAGATGGGCAGCAGCATCTTCCTAATAACGACTAAAAATAAAAACTACGGTTGCCTACCTGCTTGCCAAGCGTGGCAACTATGCTAAATATTCCTCCTATGAGGCAATCTATGGGGGAGGCTTATGTTCAGTCGTGGACATTGATAGGTTGTCACTATAACTTTAACTGTTGCGTTTCGGTCAAAAGGTGAGTACTCAGAGATGACGACGTTTCTCTACCTTCTTTGTATAGAGTTGGTTACAAGTTTTTTTGGGTTATAGTAGCCATTACCATCAGGTGATGTGTTAGCTCATGGGTCACTTTAACTCGCAAGTACCATTAAACCCTGTTAAATTAAAGCGGAGACCACTGTTCTGGATTAGGGCTTTTGTAATATTACTTAATTTATAACTTTCAAAAATAATTTTCTGTAATTTTGTTAACCTAGTTACTAGGTTAATAAAATTACAGTAAATTATTTTTCTTCAATTTTATTAACTCAACTCTTTAAATCTCTTTTTTTCTAGGTCCTAGTATGTTTATAAAATTACGTATTTAATGAATGACATTATTTCTCAAGCCATCGTGGCAATGTTAAAATGAATATACAACAATGGAATAAACATTTTAAGGTTGAATTATATCACTGTTAATTTTATACTTGACAGACAGTAGGAAAATTACATATCAGAGGCCTTCCTATTTGGAGACAATTGGTGCCGGATCTTAGAGTTGTGAGAAACTACCATTATCATAGTACAAATGTTGCCACATGTCACAATTGCCGGTTCCGCTTACAACAACCTTTTTTTTTTAAATTGTCACTTGTTTTTTTTTTACAAACATAATTCTGTTTTGATACTTTATCGTTGTTTTTAACGGACTTCAAAAAGGAGGAGGTTCTCAATTCGAATGTTTTTTTGCATGTATGTTACGCGGTATCTTCGCAGATTGTGAACCAATTTTGATGATAATTTTTTATTCAATAGGTAATACTTCAAGGTTGGTATCTATATAAATTTGGAGCAAAAATCCCACCCCTAAGGGTAGCAAATAAATAACTTCTTTTTTTGCAATTTGGAGTCGGTTTTTACTTTTTGTTAAAAGTTTCTGTCACAATTAGTCGTAGCTCCATAAGTTGCCTCTAATGAAACCAAAGTCTCAAGTTAATAGTCTACTTATTAAACTTTCTTTTATCTTTGCAGGAAAGAACCTCTACAACAATGAACATGTAGCCATAAAGATGGAGCCTATGAAATCCAAGGCTCCGCAACTACACCTAGAGTACAGATTTTACAAGTTACTAGGCACGCACGGTGAGTATTGCACAGTAAGAACTGTTTTAAAATTCCAACTAAAAGGCCATTAACCCAAGTAAATGTTTATAAGCACGTTAATTAGCATAACTCAGTAACATGCAATCTATTTATGTCAAATTTTCACTGTTATAACGAAATAATTTTGTTTTTCACATAACACAAAAATTTTGTTACCTTATTGCGTGAGTTACAAACAGTATGGTTGCACTACTATTGTACAATTAATTCCTGTTACATTTTAAAGTTTTAAAATTTAACAAGTTGTGTCATAGTAAACATTGAAAAATCGGCTTCGATCGCTTTTTTGTGTGGCTTTTCATTTCGCTAGAAACAGATCACTTACATACAAAAACATTATTTTATAATAATTTAACATTGATTAGAAAATTCCAAACAACGCTGCTCTGTTAAGTAGTATTTTTTATTAACTTTGTTCACTACACTGCCGATCTTGCCTTTCATCATCATTATTACATCCTATCAAATGTTTACTACTGAACATTGGGCCTCCCTCATAGATGGTATATTTGCAGTATTTGCCACGCTTGGCGGGCGGGTTGGCAACCGTAGTTTTTATATTATCTTAAGTAGTTATCAGGAAGATGCTGCTGCCCATCTGTTGTTTCAAATTCAGCCTCTTACGACACCCACTGGATGACATGGGGTAATAATAAGCTTATTTCATTTCATTTGTGTTATAGAATGTGATATATACTCTTTCAAAAATGTAACAGGAAAAATTATCTCGTATCGTGGAGTCATTTTAGATATGTAAATTGCACATGGACAAACAACCAAGGACAAGGAACTATTGTTTGTAGACCATACTAACACTTTTTCCGTGTGGGATTGGAATCCGCGGCCCCACAAAGCCTCAATCAATATTGATTAGCTGCCAAAAATAGTAAAACAAATAAAAGAAATATTTAGCGCTTAGACATATAAAATAGATTCTTTAACTTCTTAAAAAGACCACTGCTGAAACATGACCTATTCCAATATTTCAAAGGACTTATTTTGATAACGCTAGGTGAACGCCGTTAGGTAAACGCAGTTCTACATGTTTCATTAATATCTAAAGTAAAGATCTGATTACGCCTACAGTAATAATCTAAATTAGATAATTAAGATTCATGTGGCTGCACGACTCACTGCACGGCTCTTAAGACGTGGACCGAAATGAAGTGACAGATTGAATGGATGACTCTTACGCCACTGTCACACGGCCCCTTATATAATGCAAAATACGAATATTGATTTTCAAATCGTCTTAGAGGGCATTCCAAAAGTGTACTACTTGGGAACATGTGGCGGCCGCTACAACGCCATGGTCATGGAGTTGTTAGGGCCCTCGCTCGAAGACCTATTCGTTCATTGCGGCCGAAGATTCCGGCTCAAGACGGTCCTTTTAATTGCAATTCAGCTCGTAAGTGTCATGTGCATTCGTTAGATAGGTGATTGTTTCTCGACACAACACCGTAACCGATATCCAACGCTCCGTTAGATGATATACCGCGAGGGCACTCGCAAACCGTGGTCATGGTCGTTGGTACAGGTCCGCGATTCATTACTAACTATTACTACACAATGGACGTTACGTTCTCGTTTATTATGACGTACGACCGTGACTTTATTTTTTCTTAATTTTTTTATAGCAATGCTCTCGCGTTTCGGCCTAGTAGTTACCGCGTGTTTTAAATATCGGTTATAGTGTTGTGTAGTACAGGTGAAAGCGAGAGCAATGCTCGATGTACATGAGTAAGTACTAATTAGTTACGCTTATTTGTCTCCCTTTCTTCCCAATTCCCTTCCGTACCTTCCGTGACCCCTGCAGCTCCTTCCACAGCGGAAGGGATACCCGAGGTGTATTACTTCGGGCCGTGCGGTAAATACAATGCGCTGGTGATGGAGCTACTCGGCCCGTCGCTCGAGGACCTGTTCGATCTGTGCGGGCGACGCTTCTCTCTAAAGACTGTTCTAATGATCGCCATGCAGCTGGTGAGTATACGTACTAAATTGTTTGACTATATAAACGCAAAGAGAACAAAACACAGTAAGTACATAATCGTTTTTAAAATATTTTAAGAATTAAGGAAGTACATTTTCTTGATATAGCTTTGTTTACTTCATAGAGTAATGAACCTTTATAAAGTAAGGTACAATAGAGTAGACCAACGTGACAATTGTACTTTTATGAGATGTCACAATGAAATTTTCCCATAGAAATTGTATTAGGATAGCAGCCAATGACATCATACTTTTTGTAGTCTACTAAACAATTTAAATTAATTTTACATAAATAAGAAAGCCGGCCAAGTTTTGAGAGACTACTAAAATTAGCAAATCCAAAGTGTATGTTGTAGTAATTCATGATTGTGACAACTTGCCTAATATAAGAAAGTATCACATACCGTTATCATCTCCATTACAGCCCATCCCAAGTCAATTGCTGAACACAAGTCCCCAGATGCTAAATCCGTCGATTCCTTCTGTGTTTCTACTACAAAAGCTTTTTGATCAAGGAATCATAAAACGTTTGTCAGCCTTCATTTGTTGTATATCTTTCTATATCGCTTACTTTTATTCTAATTATCTTCTAGTAAAACCCTAATTGTTCAGCAGTCATTAAGTTATTGCTTATTTTAGTTAATCTGCTTATTTTAGCTGCCAACGTAATGTTGTTATCACGTTGTCTGACGTATCGCCTTGTTGTTCTAACGGTTGTTGTCTCGTCCGAGTGATAATCTTTCTATCATTGTTACCTTATCATAATATAGTTTCTTATCTATCCATGTTTTTTTCAATTGTCGCTATGAATTTCCGTCTCCATCATGTAAAGTATACAAAGTATTTTTTTTATTTTTATGACGTTGCCCTGTCTGATATTTTTAACCGAGTTCAAACACTTGTATTACTAAAAACACACGCGTCGAATGATTTTTATCAATTTACACCGATTTCTCGGAAACGGCTAAACCGAGTCAGATGATGATGAGCCAGTGCTTGACCACAATCGCATCTTGTGGTAAGTGCTGATGAAGCCCTAGATGGTAAATATAATGTAATAGAGTGAAGATTTTAATGCAACTATTTTGATAAAATTCCACTCAAAAGACTAAAGTAAATAAGCTTCTATCAAAAACAACAAACCGACTTTAAAACTAAAAATTACCATATAAAAGCTTCTGAAGTCAATACTAAGAATAAGTATCGAAGAGTTGTTTTGTGTACACGTGCACTTTTTATTAAATGTTTAATTATTATAATTATATTCTATGTGCGTTGTCCTGTGGTATGTTATTGCTACCGAAATAACATTATTGCTTTGTGCTCTTACAAGATAATCTGTTTAATCTCATTTCTTCATTACCGTTTTGTCTCCATCATCCTTTTTACATCTTATCCATCCTTACGTCACTGCTCACTGTCATCTCGCTCGCAAATATCAGCTTAAAATAACATCCATATACCGCTGTGTTTAGTGTAGTGAGTGACCGGAACCGGAGACCTTTTTTACTGGTTACAAGTTATTTCATCTTAGTCCCCAAGAGATACAGCGTACCTGCATTTTAATTTTTTTATCGAGCATAGATATAGATTACCTATGGACCACTACATACTCTTACTATTAGCTGGACTGTGTGCTTGTTCGTCACCTTTGCTTGTATAAAAAATGCTGTCATGACGTCATGACAGCATTTCTTAGAAACTGTGTTACTGTGTCGTCCATATCATAGAAATATTCCGAAACAGTATCAGATACAGCGTTAGCAATTCGAGGATAATCCTAGCGTAACCAAACTCGAATTATTTGTACTATGCATAAACATTACGTTCGACTTTCATTCGAACCCACTACCTGCAGCAAATTCGTTATCTGACCAGTGGTAATCAATTAAATAAATATAAGTACCGACATGCAGTTAAACAAATGTAAATGAGTTTAACTAACGCTAATCTCTACGCTCTATCGGTTCTAGGATATTTGAAACAATGGACTAATCTATCTCCGTTGACGTCATTCGTTCTAAATGTAGTGCTCCATTTTGCTCTGCAGTGAAAAAGATTTGTTTATTCCACCATTAATGTCGGATTCCTTAATGAATTCAATAATATGTTTTCAAGAGGCAGTAGAAATTTCCGCAGACTTAATGACTTACTTCTTTGTTTACGTTTGTACAACTTTTCCCGTCTTATTACAAAAAGTGCTTTGTAATTCTCAGGTTTCAACTATCGTCTGCTTCAATAAAGAAATCCCGTGGAAAATATGCGAATAATATGTCAAAATGTAAAATAGATATAAAAGTAAAAAAAATATACGTTACAGCTTTTAAACGTCCCACTGCTGGGCACAGGCCTCCTCTCATTGTTGAGAGGGTTGTAGTGCAAGGAAGCGTCCACCGCGCTACCCCAATGCGTGTTGGCGGACATCACATGTCTTCGAATTACTTTTTTTTCTTATTTCTATGACATGTAGGTTTCCTCGCGATGTTTTCCTTCACCGCCGAGCAGGTGCTAAATCAGCATTTAAAATTGCAATTAGCTATTTCATTGGTGCCAGTGGGGATCGAAACTGGGCGTACTGTCAAATTTACAGCGAGCGCAACTGCACCTGTACGGCACAATTTACAAATTTTAAGGCAAATATTTGTTTCAAATTATAAAACGAATACCGTTACTTGCGAGTAGCAAGAGTCACCGTGATTAATTAGAAACTTTCTGGTTTCCTGCAATTGCCTTATTTAACTTCTTTTGGTTCATTACTCAGATGCATCGGTCCAGTAATAAAATTAAGTGCCTAAATATAATATTTTGTAAATAACCAATCAATTTAGCACGTAATACTGTTTGATATAGGCCTCTACCGTTGAAGGTTGGATTTGTCACAAACTTGGATCGGCCTTTGATGTTACTCCCGTTGCCGGTCTTGGTATTTGTATGATTAACGTAAATTGATTTTGGAACGAAGTTCCTTATCGCACGGTACGAATTTGGCGGAAGAGGGCTAGGCGAGAAAAAGTGTAAGGTTTTTCCATCACGACCCGTTTTCTATAGTGCGAGCGAAATGGAATAATATCCACCTCCCTCGCACTTTTTCTTATCTTGCCAAAAAATAAATATTATTTTAAATGACGTCTCATTTTAATAGACGCTAGTAATTCATTTATTTGTATTTGTTAATCAATAATATAATATTTTTATTAATAATAATAATTATGCTACGAAAAGAACTTCATTCCAACCGAGTGTTCCACGACACTCACGCATGTTTTTTTTCTTCTGGCATTTACTCTTGTCACCACTAGGGAGTAGGGACCCACCCAAGAGGTGACAAGAGTAAATGCCAGGAGAAATGGGGTGATCGATTCTTTTATTATTATCACTTATTATCATTCTCTTATTATTATATATTACCACACGGCTACGACATTCTCTAACTTAGTGTATATTATAGCAACAAATAAAATTATAAGACAATAACGCTCTCTTATATTGTAAAAGCAGCAGGATTGTGAAACTTTATAAAGCATCCTGTACAAAATTTGTATCAACTTTCCTAGTTGTAACTTTCCTTTTGTATCCTATTACAAAGAGTAAGGCATCATGAGAGTATAATTTTAGAGCTGTGTTTACTATTTAAACACCATTCTTTCAAATATTCCAAAATGTTTGATTAATGAAAAAATATTAAGATATGTAATTTATCGTTTAAATTTTTCTGTGCCAAACCAACATGCAATATTTATAACATATTTATACATAACAATGAAAATTACATGCAGATTGACAGGCAGATGCACAGACAGACAAAACATGTTCAATGATTAACTAATAATTTATTGTCGATTAATTTCAGCTTCATCGTATCGAGTATGTCCACACAAGACACCTCATATATCGGGACGTAAAGCCGGAGAATTTTTTAATAGGTAGAGCATCGACTAAAAGGGAAAAAATCATTCACATCATTGGTAAGTTTTAACTCTTTTACTTTCTTATTCGATATTTTAATTAACTTTATTTTCAATATGTTGATGTGATATTTGAATCAGTGACACTCCCGGACTTGTACAAGATCAGTTATCTAAGAATAGATTTACTACTTCGAGCGTCATCTTTAAAATCTAATGTAAAATAAATTTGAAAAACACTACTGCAAAATCTATTAAACAGCTTGAGGGCTAAAACTTTCAAATCGGAGCACAGCAGACGGTGTTCAGCTGCTTTAGGTTCAGAAATATGTATAGTTTGCTTCTCGCGGCGTGTGATATCATAAGTTGAGCTACGCCAAACCGATTCGTGCGAGCGAGTACGCGCCATAGGCGAGCCCGCGCTACCCGTTCTGACAGGCGATTACAATCGCCGCACTGCATCACCATGGTATAACCGAGACATGCGAGATCCATAAAACATTACATAAACATAAAATATTCATATAGAATTAAAAATTCGGAATATTTTTCATAGGTCCAATCTGTATAATTTACATACGCGAGAATATTTCACGAAAAAACAAAATGACTAGGAAGGAACACAGCGATGTATTCACCCGCACCACTGTGCGATGCCCCGCGTCTTTGACTCTTTGATGTCACCGTCTTCGAGCAGATCGGACGCGATATCACACTAGCCTGCATCGCCTCGAGTCTTTACCTTGGCACGGCGCGTGCGTGAGGAGTCAGCTTAAGAGGCACATACTTACTTTTCGGCAAAGAAGGATCCACTTCACTTCGTTTCGTGAGAACACTTAGTTAATCTGATGCTAAGTGGGGCCGCTGAAGCTTATAGACACATACATCTATCCTCGATTTATAATCAAAATGCAGATGCGTCGTCAGTCACCCATGAGAACGCAGATGGAATTTCTCGTTTCGAGTAAAATGGTCTTCGATTCTATACACACGATAAACACACAGCAGCATTACTATGCTACTATTTTATGTTGGTACGAGTGTGGTCCTTCCCCAATCGACCTGACCCATTCAAGTTGTACTATAATAAAACTGCCGCGTGACTCTACTACGCTTATTCGCTCTCAACTTTACCTTTTAAAATAATGCAACTAAAAATTTATGACGATGTATATGACGAATATATAATATAATGTAGCATTTAAAGTTATAAAAAAAATCTTACACCTACACGCACTGGGGCCTTAAATCTATCTCTTCTCCTTTATCAAAGTTGGTAACCTACTAGTACAAAACGAAATTGGACGAAAAAGTGTCACAACCAGATCGAAACTGTATTAAGTTCATAATATTATGTTGCTATATCTCTTAAGGCCAGGTCCACACTTAATCGTCTTGATGTATCGCATCTTGGTGTATGTACACGCCGTTGTGATACTGTATCTGATATATTCTGTGCTGTGTATTTAGATACTGTTTCATGATACGATGATACCATGTGATACTTAATACGCCGCGTTCTATGTCTAGTCGATTTTATTTGGATCATAAAAGGGGATACTACACGCCGCAATACGGTTATGAAAAGATTGTGGAAACACGTGGAAAAGATACGAGAATCGGAGAAAATTTTGGAGCGTGTATATATAAAGAACGTTATATGCCTTTTCTGATACGATATAGCTAGTGATACAATATGGTCGAAATAGGCGGCCAGACTTAAGATACAAGTACTCGATACAATACACCTAATATACAATACAATATACGACTAGATGATCAAATGTGGAGCCGGCCTAAAGTGATTTTACAAGTCCATAAGACGATGTGTCAATAGGTTGCGCCCTATATTTATCAACTCCCGTCCTTTCGAAAGGTCAAGTGCGAACATCGGAAATCATGACTCTTATATTTGAATCTGTGGATTTGATACATATTTATTTACAATGTTAATACATTCATTGCGACGTTTTGTTTGGTTAAGATCTTGTGATCGCACTTCGTAAATAAAATTACATTTAATAATATAACTATGTTTAAAATATGAGGATCGTAATTGAAAGTAGAAACAATATTACTATAAATAAATTTATTTTTAGAAAGTTTTATCTCAGTAATAAAGTTCGAACCGGAGTAGAACCAGAGTGACCGACATATGCCAACGGATTAGTAAGCTGAAGTGGCAATGGGCCGGCCATATAGCTCGAAGAACCGACAACCGATGGGGGAAAAAAGGTTCTCGAGTGGCGGCCTCGTACCGGTGGACGAAGTATAGGTAGGGGGTCGTCCCACTAGATGGAGTGACGACCTGGTAAGACATGCAGGATGTGGATGGATGCAGGTGGCTCAGGACCGTGCTTTGTGGCATTCGTTGGGGGAGGCCTACGTTTAGCAGTGGACTTGTGAAGAGCTGTAATGATGATGATGAAAAAATTTTAAGGCTTCCATACGTTCCATTCTGGGCACAGACCTCTTCTTATTACTGAAGAGGGCTTAGGGCAAAGAAGTGTGTTGGTTTTAGAAGTTTTTTTTTTTCGTACACCTAGCTAGCCGGTTTTCTTACGATGTTTTCCTTCACCGCCGAGCACGTGGTAAATCAGCATCACTTTCACTTTGATCTACAACGGCTCAGTAATCTCATTAATCAATTTTCTCAGTAAGGAGTTTCTATTATTAACTGACTTCAAAAAAGGAGGAGGTTCTCAATTCGACTGTATTTTTATGCGTGTTCCTCGGAACTTTTTCCTAGGTAAACCGATTTTGATGATTCTTTTTTTATTTGAAAGCGGTCAAGATCTGACCAGTAGTTTTTGAGTTATGCTTAATGATGTATTTAATTGACTTCGACTACATTGATGGTTTTCTCATATTATGTATATTGAAGTCGGTTGTACAAAATGTTTAATTTTACCACTTGTTTTCTATTTAAACGCGTACGTTTTGCATAGAAGAGATTGATTTAATTAAATCCTGTTAGGAAATTTAAGTACTTCGAGATCCTTCATTGCTTAGTAATAAAACTAAGGTTTAGGTGAAAATGTATTTTAAATTTGTCCGTTATTTATGTATCTAACTGTGATATTATCTAAGAATTCATTTATTTACGTATCATTATTACAACTGATAGACAATTAGTGTACGACAATATAATGGAAAATTGTGATGAAAACAAACATTTTCAAAATTTAAATGTTTTTTGGGGTGTCAATAATAACTAAAATGATGTCTTGAGTGAAGAATATTCCTAACGAGTCTTATTTATAGAACAAAAATATTTTAATATTTTTTGAATTATTCTTGTCCATTAAGTAGGTAACATTCAAGTAAAAGATTTCAAAGCTAGAACATGAAACTATTTTCAGACATTTTGTACATACATAACCTAAACAAAGGCTTCGTAAAAGTTACTGCCGCTTTTAATAATAGATTGTACATATTTAATTTACATATATTATGTGATAAAGCCGCATAGGACAACCCATTGTTTCATTTTGCACCTTGGATATCGACTATGAAAGAAAAATAAATTAAATACATTAACATAGTAAAATGCATGTGTGCAATGTATATCGCATGGAATAAATGTTCACTCTTTACAAATTTAAAAATATTAACTTTATCTTGCATTTAAACATAAGACATTTAAGTAAGAAGATACCCAAATTCGTATACAACGCTAGGAGATATATCCCGTCGTTTCGAATTTCGGTATAAAAACAACCTACTAAAATCGAAATTTAATTTAATACTACATTGCTCCGGGCCTTATTCACTGTCTATAAAAATGTATAAACAAACTGCTTTCGAATATAAGAGAAGATTGTAGGTTCGTTAATTTATTAAATTATTAATGAAATTACTTCTATTAAAGTTTATTATACCGTCAAAGAATACTTTGAAGATAAAACGCTTCAGATGTGTGCTTCTCTCTCTTCCATATTGCAATGTCTGAAAAGGTGCACAGGTGTATGTTTGGACTGTGTAATATTTATATACCTAGTTACAACATACATGTAGTGCAAATAAATAAATCTTCACAAACAAATTTGGCGGAAATACTACTGACGCTGTTGCGTTTAATTTTAAATACTTTCCGGTCTAAAATTACATGTTGTTTAAGCTTATACAAAGTAAATGAACACTCAGTAAGTTATTATACGGATATTGTTCAATAGCTTAAAGTTTTATTATATCTTTTGACCGTGTAATGGCTGTGTAAGAATAACCGCTACCTCATATTGTCCCAATAGTGTGGTAAGAGGCGACAAAGGTAAACATACCAGAAGATAGGCAGCGGCTTCTTCCTAATACCAATTAAAAATTAAACTTCGGTTGCCAACCCGCCTGCCAAACATAATAACAATGACAAATATCCCCTCTATGAGGCAATCTATCTTCTGTAGTGGATTTTTTAAAACAGTAATAATACCTTTTAAAGGTAAAGTTGTTGCAGTCATGGGAGCTCAGAGGCTGAGCGCTCGCCGTAAATATGACAGTACACGCTAGCAACCCGAGTTCGATTTCCGCTGGAACCTAATAAATATCAAACTAGTTAATTGCAAAAGTGGTGAATATCTCGCGTTCGGCGGTGAAGGAAAACATAGTAAAGAACACGCATGTCAGTGAATTAAAATATTTCCGAGGAAATGTGATGTCTGCCAATATGCGCTGGATTAACGCAGAGGACGAATTGCTTCACAGTCCTCATGGATATGAGAGGGGGCTTGTATCCAGCCAGAGAGACCCCTTTTACAGAAAGCGAGGCATACCATCTTAGTCCTCAGGGGTGCATCGCATCTGCATTTTGATTCTTAATCGAGGATAGATGTAGATGTCTATGGGCCACAATATCCACTTACCATCAATTGAACTGTGTGCATGTTTGTCACCCTTACTATATATAAAAAAAAAAAACAATAGTGGGACGTATAACTTTACTTTTTTACTCAATCAATTCGAAAAACTTTTCAAAACATCTATACAAATATTTATTTTTCTTTTCTAGCAACCGTAGTTATATAACCACCACTAGTACTTCATTTAATAGTTAATTAGTGGTT